TGTTAAGTAGCTCGTGTGATTCACGGGAGATATTAAATGAGTGGACAATATGGGTTGTTAGTTAAGGCCTAAAAAAGTAATAGAGTTTGATCATCTATTTTTTTACCTCTTTCATCAATGTCATCTTTTTTGTCGAGACATTAAACCTGAGCCTGGTAGTGGTAGCGCTAGACCGTAAATTAATTAATATATTATCTCGCTCACATGTTTATAATAATATAAATTTAATTTCATTATATATATTTATTCCTTGATATAAGAAAAATAACAATTTTACGTAATCTTGTTCCTCGTATAATACTCATATTATTTTATTATAAAATTTATTGTAATAGCATGATGAACCAATATATTATTATAAATAATATTTTAACATATATATTTATTTTTTAATACAAAATAATAATAATTTTACATATTGTGGTTCATCATAATACTCAATTATTAATCTATTAAAAAATCTATTATCATATAATGTCATTATTATTTATAACACTTGTAGAAGTAATATATTTGTTATATAATGATAAATATGTAATGTGTGTTAATATTATTTAGTGATGTAATTAATTTAAAAAGATATAAGCAAATTTAATGTTAGGTAGGAACGTGATTATATGTAAGTTGAGATAATTCTCTCTTTTCTTGTTTGGTACCAATAGGAAAGGAAGAATCTAAAAAAGCATCTCTCGTCCTAAGAAGAAAAACCTAATCCCCAAATCCGCCGCTCGTCGCCCTCCTTAGTTGCTCCGGCGTCGGCCTTCCTCGGCGAAATCGTGGCTCCGACCGGCGGTAGCCCTCGACGGCTCGCTCCTCCTCTCTGATTTTGCGCGTCTCTGGCGGCAGGTGGCTTTTCCGTTCGGGATGGTCGCTACTCCGGTGGGCGTCTCCTTCTCCGGTCGCGATGGTGACCATTGCAGCGGTTTCCCTCGGTGGCCGATCTGGTGGTCCTCCCCCCTCCGTTCGCTCAGGTGGCGGCTGATTGGCGGTCGGACTCCCCTTCTCCCGGTGAGGTGACGCGGTTCCGGTTGAAGACCTCCTGGAGATGCCGAGCTGTTGGAGGATGGGTGAATTGGAGAGAGAGGCGAGGCTCAGGCTACTCGTGGCGCTCGCGCTGGGTTGTTTGAGCGGGGGGGCGACTTTCTCTTCTCTCCCCGGTTCTCCGTTGGGTTCGGGGGAGCCGGCGCAGCGGTACTCGGCTAGTGGTGTTAGGCGGGTGGTGCGGTGTTGGTAACGGCTAGTGGTGTTAGCCGTTGAGGAGTGTCGACTCTCTCTGGCTGGGGACGGGTCTTTATTGGTGTTTGGTTCCGGATTTGGTATCGGCTTCAGATAGGCATTAGGCAGTGTAGGTTGCAGGTACCGGGCCTTCGGATCTCTCCCTGATTTTGATCGTTCATCTGCTGGTCTGACTCGATCTTTCTGCCGAGGAAGGGCTTTATAGTTGGTTTTTAGGTGTTTTGTTCTAGAGTTTTTTATGTGGTTTTGGCCGTGTCTTGTGTTATTGGTTCTATGTTTGTGTCAGTGTCTTGTATTTTTGGTTTGGGCCCTTGGCCTCTGTGAGCCCGAGTGTCAATTTAATTTCCCTGTTAGGGCCAGATGCTCGGGTATTACCCTGTTGGGGTCTTTGTGTTATTTTTTAGTATTTTAGTGTTTTTGTCGTGTTCTTGAGTTTTACCCTGTTGGGGTCGGTTCTAGGCGGTCCTTTGGACCTGTCGTCCCACTTTTTCAGCTGTTGGCTGCGTGTATTCAGCTGTTGGCTGTCTGTATTCAGCTGGTGGCTGCCCTTGTATTTTGATTGTTTTTATAATATCTCTATCGTTTTGGCCAAAAAAAAAAGTAAGTTGAGATAAAATGAAATGTATCAAAAAAATCTTCTTATGATATTTTCCTTTAAATGTTTGAATGAATTTGAAATTCAAATTACAAATCAACCTTCAGTTACTCAAATAATTTTAAAAAAGTTATCAATTGTAGTAAAATGTACGTGACAATATATTATAAATATACATGACGTCAGTAATGTTATGAATCTTTAAGTTCCTAAAATATATATTGTTTAGATATGAAACTAATTAACTTATATGTTAAGATAATAAACACAAATATATGTATTGTACGAAATATACACGTGACAAGTTCTTATATTTGTTTATATATTGTTTGTATATTTGTTTGTATTGTTTAATATATTTGTTTATTATAATTGTATATGAATATATTGTTTATATATTTGTCTGTATTGTACGATAAATTATTATATTTGTTTATATATTGTTTAAATATATATTGTTTAGATATGAAAATAATTAACCTATATGTTAAGATAATATATATAAATATATGTATTGTATGACATCTTTAACGTGTTTGTTAAATTTTTTCCCTAAAAAATTCAAAATACATTTAGGCATGTTTTGTTTGAAGTTTGAAATTCAAATATGCATCTATATAACAAAGCACATGATTTGTGCTAGCATTAAATGCTACTTGATTTTTTATTAAAAAAATTAAAAAAAAAAAACATACCAAAAATGGAATGCAATTAATATTCCCTATTTTTTTGCTTACTATTTTTGAAAAATGTTAATTCTTATTATATATATATAGATTACTAATTAATTCGCCTCTTGAAAATTAATTTATTTAATTTAATTGATCGGATTACCTCCCTATGTTTAAGATGTAACGTCCATTAATTAATTTAAGAACTGACAATTGTAATTGATTAATTTATTTTTATCCAAAATTTGTACCACTTGGTTCTTGATTATTATGTTGGAATATTATTCGTCTACAGGGTTTAATATAATAAGCCTTCTTGAACTAATCTCGGGGATGTCATCAACCCCGCAAACCGAGACATAATGACCGTAAACAATTCAATGGAACATCATGTAAGCAATCATTATTTACCAAAATACCGAGTATGTCATCCTAATTAAAATAGGAATCACCCTTGGTAAATTAAACAAATAAGTATTGAGTACATATGCTCGTTTATTGTCTGACGGATTAAGATAACGCATCAATTACTGGGTCTAGATTAATTACATGGTGATCAATATAAAATAATCTTATCCTCCTTTGGTCCCATTTAATACACCCTTAGATGTACTAGCGTAATTTATCAGTCAAAGATCAATTGAATAAAAACTACACTAATACCTTTCACAACAGATAGTTCAATTCTGTCTAGGCTGTGAATCCTTTATTTATATTTTACAAGTAACTGATAATATGATCTTTCTGTTCGGCACATCGAACCACAATATCTAGAGTGTAAAGTAAAGGAAATTACGCTCGCATAAATAAATAAACTGCAAACACACATATTTGACTAAATCATAATTGTCATTCAAAATTGTATTGTAAGAAGATGAAAGCCGATTTTTTACAGTATATCCTAACACTGGATTTGACTTGATTCGAGCTCCTCGCTGGTTGAACGGATCCTTGAGACCTGTAAAAATTCTCACACCGGAGGGATTTTTCAGTGAAATAGACATGATCAAGATCACATTGCATGTAATTTCCATGTTACTCACCATAATTGATCTGTCATTGAGTGTATTAGTATGGTGAGTATCGGGGTTTAACCACAATTCGTAATGTTGTGAAAGCCGCAGTAGTTCCATTGCTAGTATACGAGATGAACTAAATTGTTAAAGGTAGTCTAAAGATAAATAGTATAAAGTTGCGCACTAAGATTATAAATATAATTGCTCCGAAAATAATATGTTGCCGAAGAGGGAGATTGTCAAAAAATTTATTTTCTTATTTGTAATCTACTAATGGGAAACATATTATATACACTTGTATTAGATATTCAATTATTTTATGGACTTAATTAAATGATCTAAATAAGGTAAAAGTCCACGAACTACATAATTAATATGGAATTATTGAGTAGATACCTAATACTACTAGGTTAGGCGAATATGGGTTGCCTACTTGAGTAATATATAAAAATCTTATTAGTTATGGTCCCAATTCACTAAATCAATCACATTTCTCTTTTCTCCCCATCAAAATTGCGAAGGGCAGTCCCATAGGAGGAATAAGGCGACTTAATTGAGTAAGACCATAAAACTGACTATGTTCGCGATCGAGGACGTGTTCGTAATCCAGATCGTGTTCATGTCTGATGTAAAGTTCATGGTGATTGGATCTATAGATTCACTTAAAGCACGCTTCCACTATCTAGTTATGATTTTTCATTATTCAATATGAACACTAATTAATTGAAATGATAGTATTGCATAAGGATAATTCCATCACTAACTTGTTTCCCTCATACTCCGAAAGTCATTATATAACCATTCCAAAATTTTGGAGTTCTCATGTTAGACTTCTTTGAGTTGTGATCTTCGTTGTTTCGGTTTCTATTCCATGGTTATCTTCAATAGTTTCGGTTCGAGCTTTGTGGTGGTAGTAACTTTGGCGTACATGGCATATGGGGAGCGTTACTTTCTTATTTTTAATTAGCTTTTTCTAATATTTAGTTTTCATGTTGTTGTGTCGTTAGTGTTTGTTTCAAACAATCTTTTGTGTTCTCGGTAGTTTTATTAGGTGCAGTATTAGGAGAATAATCTAGTTTGCATATTATTGTCATATTTTTTATTTTGAAAAAAAACAACCTTGGTTGCATCCTAACTCCATAATTGTATAGTTTTTTAGAAAATTTTGGGGTCAAAATATACTCGAGTGTAAATTATGATATTTTATATTTTTATTGTATTTTATTAAAATAGATATTTTGGATTGTAATAAAAAAAAGGTCATATAGTACAAGTTTCAAATTTTCTTTTTCCCTAAAATATAAAATGAGAAGTCAAAATACATGAAATGCAACAAACCGGGAAACTCACCCATTGCTGTTAGCCGCTTAAAATTTTCGAAGTCTTTTACCAAGCCAAGCCCGGGACAAAATTTCCGCACTCTCCCAAAAAGGAATAAATAAATAAATAAAAATCGCGCCTCGAACAAAAACCAAATGAAACCCATTTCTTTCGATTTTGGTTCCAAGTACCCAAAATAGTTTCAAACTCCTCTGCCAATGGCGGCATTATCATTCCCATAGCGCACATTTGCAGCTTATATACACAGACTGCATTTCAGTTTATCTCTCACCAACAATTCTTGACTTCTCCCTTTGTGTTTTTCTTGTGTTCCCCAGTTCGAGTGCCCGGCGATGGCGAACCAAGAGAATTGCGTGAGGGTCACTCGATTGGCGGCGAAGAAGAGAGCAGCACAAGAGGCCACCGCCGGCGAGAAGAGCAAGAAGCAGAGGGTGGTGCTGGGCGATATTCAGAATGTACTTTCCTCGCAAAATGTCTGCGAGAAGGGGAAAGGTAATTCTAAGAGGAAGTTAAAAGAAGGGAAATTGGGTGGTAAGAAGAGCCTGAAAGTGGGGAATGATCCGGCGATTGATTTGGACGGGAAAATCGATGACCCGCAGATGTGCGGAGCTTATGTTTCTGATATACACGAGTACCTTCGCAAAATGGAGGTCAGTGGCAATTTTGATTTTAATTTTATCGTGTTGAGCGATTATGGGTTGAATGTGGTTTCGTATTCAATTTGTGTTTTTTTAGTGTCCGATTTTGAAGATTTGCAGTAAACGTCAAGTGTATCTCAGATTTTGCCTATTTATGTTGTGATTATTGATGGGTTTAGGGTTTTATGTATTGCTGGGTTCTTTTGTGTCTGTTATCTGTTGGTAGTTTCTAATAATTCTTAAAATATTAACCCAGAAGGAGGCAAATAGAAGGCCTTTGCCTCATTACTTGGAGATTGTTCAGAGTGACATAAATGCAAACATGCGAGGGGTTTTGATGGATTGGTTGGTTGAGGTTGCTGAGGAGTACAAGCTTCTTTCAGACACATTGTATTTGACAGTTTCCTATATTGATCGATTTTTGTCCACGAATGTCATAAACCGGCAAAGGCTTCAGCTTCTTGGTGTTTCCTCAATGCTCATTGCCTCGTAAGAAAATAGTATTATTGGCCTTAAATCTCGGTCTTGAGCAATGTTCTTGTGTTGTAATTTTGCTGACATGTTCTGTAATGTTGTGGTGATTTATAGAAAGTATGAGGAGATAACTCCTCCACATGTGGAAGATTTTTGCTACATAACTGATAACACGTACACTAAGGAGGAGGTTGTGAAAATGGAAGCCGATGTGCTCAAATCCCTTAAATTCGAAATGGGGAATCCAACTGTGAAGACATTTCTTAGGTATGTGATTATTGATTCAAAATTTCTCTTAATTTGTTGCACTGTAGTTCTTCACTTGGCTAATAGGGCATATATTCTTTTGTTTGGCCTTGCAGGAAAATTATCAGAGTTGCTCAAGAAGAAAAAGGGGTAAGTTTTTTATGCTTAGCATGCGATTATTGTATAACCTATTTGGATTAATTACCCCTTGAGGGTTATCACTATTATATAAAAAAATTATTGTATATCAAAATTACACTTACCCGTTTGAGGTTCACATTATTTGTAAAAGAGACAAGTTGTGTACTGTGGTTTTGAAATAGAATTAGTTTTCTGTATCTACACAAAACTCCGAAAGCTGCTTTAGTAATTGCCATTTTCATACCTTCTTTTGTAGTTCTCACGTACATATTGTCATTTTTTTCAGCGTTCGAGCTTGCAGTTAGAGTTCTTGGGTTACTATCTAGGTGAACTAAGTTTGCTGGATTATGGGTGTGTGAAATTCTTGCCATCTTTGGTGGCTGCATCAGTCATATTTCTCGCGAGATTTACACTTAGTCCTAAGCAACATCCTTGGGTATGAAATGATCGTTCTTTAGGGAAAAAAAATTGATCAACCTTGTATGTTTTTAAACTAAGTGATGGATTTATTTCATACAGAGTTCGGCCTTACAATGCCAGTCAGGATATAAAGCATCAGATCTACAAGAATGTGTTTGCTTAATTCATGACTTGCAATTGAGTAAAAAAGTTGGCTCTTTGACTGCAGTGAGAGAGAAATACAAACAGCACAGAGTATGTATATATCTATTTCACTTCTTGTTTAATTTGCTTGGATCATATCTGTTGTTAATCTTTTACATTAATTTTGATTTTCCCTTTTTTTCGTTTTTGGACAGTTCAAATGTGTATCGACACTGTCTTCACCTTCAGATATACCCGAGTCGTATTTTGATGATCGTTAAGGTGTCTGATCAGGGACAAGCCATTTAAGACTCAAACTCATGGAAATGTATATAGAGCTTTCAAGTTATATGGCTAGATGTATATGTTCTTGTTCGACTGAGGATTTATTCCTGTACAAGCTTTGGTTGGAAAGATGTTTTTTCATGAACAATATTCAGAAATATTGCATGAAGTTTTGCGAACGAGTGGTATGTAGGAACCTTGTGCATTGAGTAGATGTACGGTTTGTATTTTTGGTCACATACTTAAGGTCGAATGTCACAATTTTTTTTACCCCTTTCGTTTAGGCTTTTGATGATTTGTATTGAATTTTGATATCAGTATCATTGTTATAAAAATTTCTTTACTTGAGAATTAAATGGATGAAGGAGCGAGTAGCGTGACGTTAGAGACGGTCTTACAGTGATCATGCTCAAAACACCCGCAGTTGGGTAAAAGAAGCGTAGAAGTTAGCTTTCTAACAATTTTTGAAAATTAAATAGTTAATTTTAGAACCCATTTGCTCTGAAGATAAAAACTTTTTTATTTATGCGTTATTTATTAATGTGGTGGCTTTGTATTATCCATCCACTTCAATCTGTTAAACGACATGGAGCTCACTAGCTGCTGCTGTTATCTTCTTCTGCTAGCTCTGCCTTTACTCTCTCTCTTCATCCTCCTCAAAAAACACTCTTCACAACAAAGCCCGAACCCGCCTCCAAGCCCGCGCTCTCTCCCCATAATCGGCCATCTCCACCTCATCAAGGACTCCCTCCACCTCTCTCTAGCTTCTCTCTCATCCCTGCACGGCCCGATTTTCTCCCTCCGACTAGGCTGCAGATCGTTCGTCGTCATCTCCTCTCCATCCGCCGTCGAGGAGTGCTTCACCAAAAACGATGTCGTCCTCTCCAACCGCCCCCGGACCATGGCCGGAGATCTGGTGACGTACAACTACACCGCCTACGTTTGGGCGCCGTACGGCCATTACTGGAGGACCATCCGCAAAGTGAGCGTCATCGAGCTCTTCTCCGCGCGCAGCCTCCAGATTTCCGCCCAAATCCGCCAACAGGAAGCGCACAAAATCCTCCGCGTGCTAAGCAGCGCCGGCAATTCATGGAAGAAGGCTGATTTGAACTACCTGGCCTTGATCTACAGCTTCAATCACGTCGCGAGGGCTGTCGCCGGGAAATCGATGGTTGAGGAAGGTGAAATTGGGAGTGAATCGGGGAAGGAGAAACTGAAGCGGATTCGTGGGATGTTCTCGCCGAGCTTGTCGGAGGGGATTTGCGATTATTTCCCGATTTTGAGGCGGGTCGGGTACAAGGGGATCGAGAGGGATCTGATCGCGTTGCAAGGTAAGAGGGAAGCGTTTTTGGAAGGGTTGATTGGTGAGGTTAAGGGAGAAATTGATGGTGGTGATAGACAGAAGAGCTGTTTGATCGACGCCCTGCTGCGCCTGCAAGCATCGGAGCCTGAATTCTATACAGACGACGTCGTCAAAAGCACTGTACAGGTGAGTTTCAGAAAGATTATCTGTTAGGATGATAGAATTACCGTTTATGTTTGGTTCACGGAAGGGGATGGAAGGGGAGGGGAGCATAGTAGAGATGATGTAAAATAATTTTATTTTATTTGGAGAAATTTTGTAGGAGGGGGAGTGAGGGAAAAACGATAAACTCTATTTGATTAGATGATGTAAAATAATTTTATTTTATTTGGAGGAATTTTGTAGGAGGGAGAGTGAGGGAAAAACGGTAAACTCTATTTGATTAAAAAGATGAAGTGAAAAGAAAATATTGTAGAAATAATAGTTATACTTTTAATGATGTAAGAAATAAAAAATTAAAATAATTCACATATGAAGCACAAAAGAGTAATTTTACATTTAAAATTTTTCTCCCCTCCAAATTTCCCACTTTTGGAGCAGAGAAAAATTTGGGGAGGGAAAGAATTTTGGCTTAAAATTTCCCTCCCCTCACCTCCTAAGTTACAAACCAAACAAAGAAAAAATAGAAAATCCTCTCCCTTCCCCTCCCCTCCCCTCCCCTCCAAATTTCCTCGAACCAAACACTACCTATAAGTTTTTTTTTCCTTTCTTTGTTCTTCAATTTTTTATTTATTTATTTATTTTTTTGTGTGGATACTAAATTGAGGATATTTATAAAAACTATCATAGTCCATCTAAATAACACACACACACACACACAAAAATAAAAAAATCTGTTATCCTTGTTGGTTATACAATTTAGTTTGAACTCTCCCATTTTGAAAAATTTTATGGGTGAGTGTATTCATTTGAAATTTGTAAATACTTTTTAAAATTTTAGAAATTCCAATGTATTTCGTTTAGATTTTTTAAATTTTCGAAAACATTTAAAAATCTCGAGGTATTCATTTGAAATTTTAAAAAATCTTATAAAAATCTCGAGATATTTAATTTATTTGAGATTGAACTTTGTTAAGA